TCATTAGGAGGATTAAAGGAATCAATATAGGTAAACTATTTAAAACAACAGCTGGTACATTATATGTAATTATCAAATAACCAGCAGATATGAGATTCTGTCGTCTATCCTTTTTACTTATTTACTCATGTTCACCTTTTTATTCTGCTTTCTGGGAGACTTTATTAAATCTATACTCTAAAATCATTAGGCTGAATTTTTGAATTCAATAAATCATTTCAATTTTCAATGGATTACTCATGATTTCTGATAACCTTCCTTTCATGGCATACCTATTTGTTTGTTTTGTTTCTGTGCTAAGGATTAACATTCAGGGCTCATACACACCAAGCATGTGTTCTACCACTGAGCTACACAAGCTACAACTTTAGCCCCATCATATTCTTCTTTGTAGCAGTGTGCTTTCAAACTCCCTTGAAGATATTAATTAGAATATTCTGTTCTTGGTACTCTTCTATCTCATTATATATTATCCTATTCTGTGTCATTTTCTGTTTCAGTTATTTCAGTTACTATATCTGTAAATAGAAATTCATGCTTTTCTCTCCTAACTAGGTTCATTTTCATATTTTTTCCTGATAATTTTCAAGTATTAACTTTTCCTTAATACAATCACAATTAAAATAAATGTTTACAAGCAAAATATTTCACTCTATCTTAATATAAACTCTCTCTATACATTTTTAAAGGGCTAGTAATTAGAGATTATTTACACTCACCATCTCGATTAGTCAGCCCTGCTGATTTAGAGCCTTTCTCTAAATCACACTTCTTTGTACTCCCTCCGGAGATAACTGTATCCTTAGATTTATGTTTATCATCCCCTTGGTTTTTTTCCTAGTTTTTAGCAAGTATTTATAATTTTAAACAAAATGTTGTTTTAATTCCCTGCATCTCTCATACTCTTTTGAAAACTGATTTTTATCCACATTGATGTATCCAGCTACAATAATAGTGTAGGAACCCATTATCCGAATAACAGTTTATTCATTCTCCAGACAATGGCCATTTGAGTTATGTTTCTCTTAACCCTAAAATCGTTGTGAACACACTCAGCTACATCTTAGAAATATATATATCTCAAGATACGAGACTAGTATTGGGACATAGTATTGGGCCATGCATATTTCTATCAGATAATGTCAAATTGTTCTACTTGTTTTTTCTCTTTTAATAACCATATCCTCACCCGACATTATATTTATATGATTTTACATTAATATCAGCATTGTACTGTTATAACCCAGTACTGTTATACATTCTTGGTGAGTTGTTTCATTTTACTTTATTCAATTTAATTATTTGTTACAGGGTCTTACTACACAGCTCAGACTCCTAGTGATCCTCTTGTCTCAGCCTCTTCAGTGCTGGGATTACACGCTTGCACAACCACACCTTGTTTCAGGGCCAGCAAGGCATGCCCATGGTTGTGGGCCTGCACAGAACTCAGTCCTTGTGCTTGCCCGGCAGGTGCTTAGGCCACTGGGCTATCTCCCCAGCCAATTGATTAATTGTAAAAAGCATTGTCTTTAGTTTTAATAATGCTTTTGACCTTAATATCTATGTTTAGAGAAACTAATACAGAATTATTTTGGTTAATACGTGTTTAATATATTTATTTCCTTTGATTTTTTTTTGTGTCCCTTTATTTTATGTGTTTGTCTTATAAACAACATATTGCTAAATTTTATAATTAATTTAACAAATCTAAGAGCTTGTCTTAACTGGGCAGTTTATATTATTTATTTTTATGATGCTGTTGATCCTTATGGTTATATATACTACCTCTTCTACAACTTTAGTTTTTGTTCTTTTTGCCATCCCTATCTTTTTATTTGATCCCTCCTCTTATTTTAATTAAGCATTCCTTATTCTTTTCTTCCTAATTTCTAGTTTCAAAATTAAACATTCAAATTCATTCTTCAAACTAATGTAATGATTAACAAAGTGTTTACCTAATAATCACAGAACACTGTACTAACTCTTCAGTGCCCACATTTCAAACCTGCTTGCTTGCTTGCTTGCTTGCTTGCTTTCTTTCTTTCTTTCTTTCTTTCTTTCTTTCTTTCTTTCTTTCTTTCTTATTTTAGGGATGGGTCTACAGGGTGTTCAGGGTCTCACTACTAGATCAGACTCTAGTGACCCACCTGTTTACAGCTTCCCAAAAGCTGGGATTGCAGGCACGCCACCACACCCAGTCTCAATTGCTATCTCAGCACACCCCAGGGGCAGGCCTGGGGATTGAACCCCTGCCCCCCAGGTGCCTTAATCTGCTGAACTAATTGGCTGGTCCTCAAACCTGTTCTTTACTGTTACTTTCTTCTTATAGTTTCTGCCAAGTCATACCCTGCTGCTTCTCACATTCTTGCATCTAATAAAACCTTTCAAAACATCTCTGTAGCACCTGTTTTTGATTTTAGAATGTCTTTATGTTTCTTCACTATAATCAAATTTCTAAAGACATCAATTATATTAGTGTTAATGTAATCTTCATATACTTTCTGATATTGTTAAATGTTTTGGCTTTGCTTTCATACTCTCAAGTCAGAGAGGCTGCAACCAGCTTTTGTGAACTCTCAACATCTGATTGCTGAATTTTCAGAAATTGTGTAAGTTACGGCTGGGAGATAGCTTGGCAAGCACAATGACCCAGGTTCAATCCCTGGTACCACATGCTGTGCTGGTGTCGGCTACTGAAACTGGGCGTGGTGGTGCATGTGTGTAATCCCAGCGCTGCAGAGGCTGAGACAGCTGTGTCACTACCAGTCTGAGTTGTGTAGCAAGACTCTGTGCCAAAAAATAACATAAAATAAAATTTAAAAAATGTGTAAGTTAGTTATTAAACACTACTATTCATTGAGTAATGTCATACTGGTAGCTTTAAGCTGGTCATGATGGGAGATCGGAGTAGGGAGTATTCACACTAGCGAAACCAGCAAATGCTACAAATGCTCCTCTCTCTACATCCTTTGTAGGAGCCAGTTAAAAACATACCAGCACCCAACTGCCAACCTAAATTGATCATTATTTTTGCTATTTCATGTAGTCAAGGTTTATCAACTTCTTTGTTCATTTTGCCATGTTGTATTTTACTCTTCCTTTCTAGGCCAGATTTCATCTTGAATGATTATATGTTGATATCTGCTGTTTCCTCACTGTTATTAAAGGATTATGCCCAGCACAATTACTTATCCCTCTTGTTTTCAGGTCTTCCTATGTTTAATCCTCATATTTTCAGGTCTTTCTATGTTTCTGGTTCCTAGTAAAATTTTCTTAGAGACAGCACTGCAAGAAACTTAAAAACAAACAAACTATATTCTTCTTTTGTAAGAGTATGATCTAGGGAGTGGAGGTAGTGGAATGGAAAAGAAAAAAATGAAGAAAAAAAAGGAATAAACTGGAAAAAAAGCCTTGTGAATAAGGAGGGGAAGAAGGGTTGAAGAGATGGGAAGAGTATGGGGAAAAAAAAGAGGAACTAAGTTATGCCATGCACAGGTACAAATTCTCCATGATGATAATGTCTAAATTATACCAGTAAACTGAATTATAGAAATATTGTATTCCAGGCTAGGCAGAAAGCTTTAGTGGATTAAAGTGCTGCTTAGGCAGACACAGGGATGGAGTTTGATCCCCAGAGTGTGGTGCCAGCACTGCCCCAGGTGTGCGCTGAGACTGTGATTGAGACTGGGCATGGTGGTGCACGCCTATAATCCCAGTGCTTGGAAGGCTGAAAAACAGGAGGCTCACTGCAAGTCCAATCTGTTTAGTGAGAGTCAGTAGACTCTGTACTAAATACCTAAAAAAAAAAAAAAAATTGTACTGTATCGATTGTGTCCACACTTTTATAGAGAAAGTCTTTTGGATTATCTTATTCTGATTGTATGTTGGTACTGGAAGTCTCCTTTAATGAGATATGAAAGTTTTTCTCTATAGATAATTCAAATTTTTCTACCGACTATATTTGAGATTTTAAAATATTTTATAAACAGTAGATATTTATATTAGAAAGTCTATTCATATTTATAAATTTATTTTATAATTTATTCAGAATGTTTATATTGCTAATTCCACTGGGCTTTCCTTATATTTATCATCTAAGATAACATAATGAGGAGTTTGAAGAATAAGAAAGGGAAAAATAGATAATTTGATACAAACATAAAGCTTATAAACTCAAGAAAATAGAGTTCACTCTTCTTTCTTTGTATACTTCATTTTGCTTAATACTCAGCAGACAAAAATTTTTTAATTACATTATTGAAAAACCAAAAAGCCCTACATGCTCCGAGAATGCTGGGAGACTGAGGCAGGAGGATCACATGTTTTACCCCAGTCTGAGCAACTTAGGAACTTAGCAAGACTTTCTCTTGAAATACAACATAATAAGCGCTATGGATATAGCTTAGTGTGAAGACCCCAAATTTTATTGCTAGTAAAGCCTGCAACTACTCTCTTCCTTCTTATGAAAAAGGACAACAAAAGCAAACAAGATGTGCTCAGGAAATTAGTGAATTTTCATAAACCAAATGTTTCACAAAATTAATCACAGGAACTAAAATCTCACAGAAATTAAATTGGTCATAAAAAAAAAACTGGTTTATTTTATACTAAACATAAAATTAGAAAAAGTGTAACAAACAAAAACTTACTCTAAATTATGCCTGATTTTTAATTAAGAAAACGAGTCAGAAACAGATATTCAGTTAAAAGATTTTGTGCCAGGAGTGCTTGTGCATACCTGTAATTCTCTGGGAGACTGAGGTAGGGGATGACAAGTTCAAGCCTAAGCCTAAGCAACTAAATCCACTAGTGAGACCTCATCTCAAAATGAAAAAAACAGAAAAGCACTGGGGATATAGCTCAGTGAGAAGGTCGTAGGTTTAATTCCTAGTACTACGTATGCACACACACACACACACACACACACACACACACATTTTTGTCAGTGACAGTGCAAAAAAGTAAATATAACCAAAGAACTTCTGACAAATGATAAATACCTTCTGCTCGAGGGTAAGCTGATACTTCTGTCTCACTCTCTTACACTTGTTGAACCAGCTGTTGTCATCCATGATGAAGGGAGGGCCCACATTCTCTGGGGTGCTGCTTTCACTGCCGCTGCTTCCTAATGTCCTGAGCTCTTCTTCATCACTGCTGATACTATCAGAACTGGGACAGTCCGGGTGAAAGTAGAAACAAAGTAAACAACATAAGCCAATTTTACTCTTAAATTAACACTGCTATACAGTATTTCTAAGCTACTGGTAAGCAAAGTTCAAAATATTTAGAAGTAAAAGACATCAGTTTCCTCAAACAATAATAACAACAAAAAATAAGCTAGCATGAGTTGCTGAGTATGTCTCACAAAACCATGCCTAGAGAAGCTATGTTTAAGATTTACAGATCTAAAAATTCAACATAAAAACTGTGAGAACACTTAAAAGAAAGAAAAAAGTGAACAGAATCAAATCCTAGGTGTGCTGGAATTTCTAGTTGGGTTCTTTTCACTCTTCAGGTGGGTTACCATCTATCCAATTTCTAACCCTGAGACAGAAAATCAGCACTACAAGCTAATGGCAGTGTGTAGTGTTTAAGGTCAGCTCAGCTTTGGCATGGAGAATAAAAGTTGAGAAGAACCAGTTATTCCTAAGCATTTCCTATTGGGAGGAACAGAAGAGACAGAGCTACAACAGAGAAAATATCCATTAAAACCTACATTTTAAATTCTGTATGATATCTATACAGAATTGTGTATGACACCCATACATGAGAGGAACAGATTCACGTGAAAAAAATGAAAAAAAGAGCTCATAATCAGAGGAAAGTATGCTGATTAGACATAGTCTAATTTAGGGTTTGAAATAGTAACACTGATGCTTATTTTGTATAAATTTTATATATACCAGCAATACACCTAAATTCTGCACAGCAAGAGCAAATGTCAAGAAAGATATTTATTAGAGCTCAACAGTGCATTATTTTCCTTTATTTGGATTGATGGTAGACATGAACTCTAGAGAGTGTTAAATTTTAGACTTGTACATTAAAAATAATGGTGCAACAAATCAAAAAAGTAGAATGTAGAACTTCTAAACAAGTAGAAGAATGAAATCAGCAAAATACAAGACAAAAAGAAAAAGGAAATGCAGAAGAGTAGGATAAAAAGAAGGCAAAAGATGCAGTAGCTATTAGCATAAATACATCAACATTGAAGTGTAGGAGATCAGAAGTATATTAAAACAGACTTAAAAGTTTTAAAAGTTTAAAAGTTTGCAAGTAGTATCATTTTAAAAATATACTTAAGCTATAAGAACACTGGAAGGTTGAAAGTACAGTAGTTCATAAATTCTTGGTGTACACTTTTATACATAATAACACATCCAAAATCAAGGTATACCTTACAACTGATAACATCTTGCTATTGCCATCAAGTCATTTTTTTTTACATTGTAAGATGAATTGAGATACATGTAGATGGGCTAAGATACATGTAGACTGAATCAAGATGCATGTATAAGGCATATTAATTAAAATATATTTTAACAAGATGAGAATATGTAAAATAGTAGTAACCAAATGAAGACTGATGAGCCTTTAATATTCAATACAATATTTTACTGGATAAATTATCAATTTATACTTATGGCCATTATACATCTATAAAATTGATTTCAGTATGAAAATTTAAGAGTTCTAAACAAGTGCATCTAATGAGTAACTTTTAAAAAAGCAAAAAGCAAAACCTAGCACTACCACGAGGAAAAACTGACAAATCAACATCATAGCAAAGAGTTTAATACATCATCTTCATAATTTAAAAGATTAAGAGCATAAAAATGAGAAAGAATATACACTATCACTATGAACTGGCATAATCAAACACAGGATCCAATCATTAGAATACTGGCTTATTCTAGACTCTTTGTTAACCAATTTCATCAAACTGTAGTTATGTAGATCACATTTATTAACTACATGTCAAAAAGCCCTGAAACATGTGAACAGTATACTTCTAACATAACTCAAACAAACTTAAGACAAACAAATATACATGTATATACATACATACATACATACATACATACATACATATATATGAACCAATAACTTAAAAGTGCATCACAGTAGGCTGACTAGGGCTGGGGAGATAGCTCAGTAGAATAAGCGCTTGCCTGGCAAGCACAAGGTCCTGAGTTCAATCCCTGGTTCTGCAAAAAAATAAATAAATAAAAAGTAAGCTGACTGGTGGAGTATGCCTGGAATTTCAGGACACTGGGAGGCTGAGGCAAGAAGGTGATGCTATGGTTTGTGTCTAGTTGTCCCCCCAAAGCCTCATGCAGTCTTAGGGTGGGGACTTCTATAGTTTGAGATTAACTCATGATCCACTGGGATTATGGATGATCCAAGGCTGGGATCATGGGTTTTAATACTGCTGGGATTATGGGTGTGAGTACTTCCCCCACCCTGGGGCACATAACCTGAATATACCATGAGAAAGACAGACTTCTTCTCTGTTACTGTTGCTGCTACTCCTTCATTTGCTCTTTTGCTTTCTGTTGCCATGCAAGGTTGCTCTCTGCCATGGGCCACTCTGCCTTGGAGCCAGCTAAGTATGGAATGAAACCTCCAGTAACTGTGAGCTGAATAAACCTTTCTTTCCTTCATTTTGGGTGTCGGGTATTTGTTCCAGCAACGAGAGAAGAGTAACTGAGTCAGGTGGTAAATTTGCAAGTTCAAGCCCAGGATGAGCAACTCAGTGACTTAGTGAGACCCTATCTCAAAATATAAAACAAAAAGGGTCTCAAGATACAGCTAAGTAATGTTTGCCCTTGTGCTTGAGGAGACTGGCCAGTCCTCCTCCCCAGGAGCCTACACCACTGTAGCAGGATGGATCCATCTTTACGGTGCTTTGTATTTACTTTTTCTGTAGTGTCTAGTTTTCTACTCTTTCTTGATTGCCTTTTTCTGTTTCCTTTTTGCTTCATTAATTTGTTTTCCAGGTATCTTTATTAGAGGTCCTGGAGAAGTTGTACTTTGCTGTCAGCCTTCTCTCTAACATTTTTAACCCTCTGCATGGAATACTGTTTTCCACTATTCTACTTTCAGTCTGTGAGTTTCTGTTTCTGAAAAAGCTGTGCCTATTGCAGGCATATACAATGGGACTACTTTCTACACCACTCTACTAGTGTGTAGGGAGCTAAGATGGGGGAGCTGACATCACAGACATTGAGAGTTATTATTTTAAGGAATTTACTGACTCCTATCATTGCATTTTCTGATGCTGATCCTTAAATTTAACTACTCACCCTGTCATACATATGCATTAATTTCTTTGGTGCTGGTGAACAGAGGGAGCAGGGAGAAAGACAGGGAGCTAAAAACTGGAAAATAGCATGACAAGGATAAGTCAATACATATCAGTGTATATGATATATGTAAATAACCAAAGATGAATCAAGATATAAAAACTCCTAAATAAACCAATATTAGAGACCCAGTCCTAGCCCAGGTCCAGTGAGTGTGTGGGAGAGCTTCTGGTTACCCTGTGCCCTCAGGACCCACTCCGGGTCCCAGCCAAGGCACAGCTTGGGTGAGACCTTCTTCCACCCCCTTGGGACGCCCCTCACCACTCCACAGCACCTCCCTCACCCCGCCTGCCGAGTAGGAATTTCTGCTGCGTTCCAGGAACCCCCAGACCCAGTCCTAGCCCAGGTCCGGTGAGTATGAGGGAGAGCTTCCGGCTACCCTACGCCAGCGGGACCAACTCTGGGTCCCAGCCAAGGCACAGCATGGGTGAGACCCTCTTCCACCCCCTTGTGACACCCCCCAACACTCCAGCATCTCCCTTACCGCGCCCACCAAGTAGGAATTTCTGCCACATTCTGGGAACACACAGACCCAGTCCTAGCCCAGACCCAGTGAGTGTGTAGGAGAGCTGCCTCTCCTCCCTACTGCACCTTGTCCCCTCCAGGCTCAGCTCAGGCCTGGCATAAAGGCCTGGGAAATAACCCTGCAGCTGCAATCCCTACAGAGAGGGTAGAGGATAGAATCACCCAGCTAGTCCAGGAGCAGAACATCTTGCTACAGGGGCACAACAGGTTCAACCTCAAGGGCAGCAGCAGGAAGGAGCACAGCAGCCAGACCCAAGCCAGGCACAGCTGGATAAGTCCAAACTTTGTAGAGCTGCACCTGAACTTCAGTATGTGCTAAGGTTATAACTACAACGAACATCTACAACAAAGGTAGAAGACAGTGCTACACAAAATGATGAGAAGGAACAAAATGCAACTTCAGAACTCAACTCCACCCATAAAAAGTGCAGAGGACAGTAACACAGAACAAATTGGGAATCACACAGCTGAAAGGAATGAATCAACGGCTTCTGAAATAAAGAAACAGCTGCAGAAAGGTATAGAGGAACTCAGAGTGGAAATAAAAAAAGAAAGCCCTGAATTAATAACATCTGCAGTAAAGAATCAAATGCAGAAACATATGGAGGAGACCCAGTGCCCACCCAGAACCAGGGCAGAGGACACTATCTTGTCTCAAATGCATGAATTAATAGTGTCGATAGTAAATAAGCAATAGCAGAAAGATATAGAGGAAATCAGAGCGCAA